CCACGCGTACATTTACATTACACCCACGCACCCACGCGTACATTTATATTACACACACACACCCACGCGTACATTTACATTACACACACGCTCCCACGCGTACAACACACACAAACAACGCACAACACACACGCACAACACACACGCACAACACACACGCACAACACACACGCACAACACACACGCACAACACACACGCACAACACACACACACAACACACACGCACAATACACACGCACTACACACACGCACTACACACAAACATCACATTACAAACATACACACATTACAAACATTACACACACGCACCCATGCGTACATTTACATTACACACACGCACCCAGGCGTACATTTACATTACACACATGCACCCACGCGTACAACACACACGAACAACACACACACACACGCACAACACACACGCACAACACACACGCACAACACACACGCATAACACACAGGCACAACACACACGCACAACACACAGGCACAATACACACGCACAATACACACGCACAACACAAACGCACAACACACACGCACAACACACACGCACAACACACATGCACAACACACACACAAACTACACACACGCACTACAAACACGCACTACAAACATACATCACATTAAAAACATACACACATTACATACATTACTCACACGCACCCATGCGTACATTTACATTACACACACGCATCCACGTGTACATTTACATTACAAACATGCATTCACGCGTACAACACACATGAACAACACACACACACACACACAACACGCAGGCACAACACACAGGCACAACACACAGGCACAACACACACGCACAATACACACGCACAACATAAACGCACAACACACACGCATAACACACACGCACAACACACACGCACAACACACACACACACTACACACACGCACTACAAACACGCATTACACACACGCACTACACACACGCACTACACACACGCACTACACACACGCACTATACACACGCACTACAAAAACACGCACTACACACATACATCACATTACAAACATACACACATTACATACATTACACACACGCAACCATGCGTACATTTACATTACACGCACTCACCCAGGCGTACATTTACATTACACATACGCCCCCAGGCGTACATTGACATTACACCCACGCACCCATGCGTATATTAACATTACACACACGCACCGACGTGTACATTTACATTACACACACGCACCACACCACACCCCACTACACCACACCACACCGCACCACACCACACCAAAATATACCCCAACCACACCACACCACACCACACCACACCACACCACACCACACCACACCGCACCGCACCACACCAAAATACACCCCAACCACACCACACCACACCCCCATTACACCAC